AGCGGTGCCTGATTTCGCCCTTTCAATTGACCCCGCAGTGTAAATCTCAGTGTGAAAATATGCTTCCTGGCACTCTGGACTGGCTGCTTTTCACTTAACCATCATTTATAGCCCCTTGTTCTATCAAATGTGCTGAGATGGAAAAAAAGTAACTAGGCTGACCTTATTTGTGCCATTTAAGATTTTATACACTTCGATTAGGTTCCTGCTTCATTCTCTCTTATTCCTGAATACAGTTAGTGAGGTTTTAGCCTGTCATCACCTTCTATCTTGGGATACATAGAGCAGAATAATCATTGCTCTGAAATGAAAATGGGAGCTGGGGCTAATGCAGGGGGTAATTACAGTCATCCTGCTGAAGATCATTCTTTAAAATCCTCAGCACTTAGGGCCCTAGTGGCCGTGATACTTGAACTAAAGAGTAAAATGGATTCACCAACCCATTTTTCCACTGCAGTAAATTATTAACCTTTAACCAAAGCTAGTCCAGACAATATTTTCTAGTCTTTCCCGAGTTCAAGATGTCAGATTCCCTTTGCTGTAATTGTTTAAATACCATTGCATTAGCGTATAGATTATATGCATTAGTATCTGGATTCTTTGGTTTAAATGGACTGCATAAAAGTGTTATTACTAAAGCATAACAGCATCTGATGAAAAGGATAGGGAAAAATAATCCATTAATCATTAAGACTGTCAGATGTAATTTCCCTGATCTTGCCAAGCCCCTGGAACACAACAGAGGGAAAGTACCTTCCTTTAATTAAAACACTTACTGATGAAGAAGTTTCTGCTGCCAGCCTTGCTGCATACCTGGCGATCAGCTTATGCTCTTCATCCAGGCGACTTGCGCTGTCAAGCACGCTGCTCAGGGTTGGAGGGGAAGGAGGGAAGACATGTTAATACACAGTAAAAAAGACCATTGCTCTGTCACACTGTCCACTCATACACTCTCATTACAGAATTTAGAAGCAAAATGTCGCCAAATTAACAATGGCAGATGTTAACTGAGCAAAGGTGAGAACTGGGAGGGTAATTTCCCTGGAAGGATCAGCTCTAGGGGCCAGGCAGCACTTTCCCTTAGGGGGAAACAGCAGCAGTCTGCAACCCCTGGCCAGGGCCATGTAAGATGCAACTCGCAGGCTGCTCTGTCCAAAAAGGGGTGGGAGGTGGTTAGGGCCACCAGTCAGCATTTGTTTTTACTTCTCAGCTTTGATGTATCACCTAGAAGATTGATTACTTTTTGGACAGTGCGTTAGCAGGAACCTCAGTGTTTGTTGAGAAAAACTTCAGAAACTTTGTCAGATTTGCAACAGAAAACAATATTTAAGACAATTTTGCAGGGCACTTACCAAGGCCTCATGGACCACAGTTTGGAACCACTGATCTAGGAATTTATAATCAGACTTTCTCTTTTATTCTTGGTTTCTTGATAGTTGGGAGTAAGATTTCAGAGAATCACATAATGGTGATCAGAAAGTGTAAGAACTAAACAGCAAATATGCTGAATTCCTTTAAAATATTGCAACTTATTCCTTATATATCACCACTGATCCCAGACTTGGACTCACTTTAACTTGGAGCCAAATCCTGCTGCCAAGATGCAGGAGTCTACCGGCACCAACTATGAAGAGCTTCGGTCACATGCGCAGAATCTCCATAAAAATTACTCAGGAAGTGTAAGAACTAAACAGCAAATATTCTGAATTCCTTTAAAATATTGCATCTTATTACATTTTTTTCCCCCTAAGAATATCAAAGGCAAATATTTATTTCAAGTTAATGCCTTGCCAGCTGTCCTTATTTTAAATGGAGGCTATTATTTAGTCAGATGAGGAGGAAAAAGGTAATATAGTGAGAACTTTTACTATTTCTAAACATTTAGAAGTTTGCAGAGAACCAACAAAACTAATAAACTGACAACAAATGAAATCTGAAGAGGACTTAGTTGCCCCCAGATAATCCCGGGATTTAGACTCCTATATTGCATTACTTTTAGTATATACAAGAGAAAAAAAATGAAGCCCCTAAGAAGAGGTGAGAAGAATGCTTTGCTGTGTGGAATACAAGACAGCCTGCAGACTATCCCAGACAGAAGTAAGTCTGACCTCTTTTCTTATCCCTTGGCAACTGTCTGATGTTTTGGCTGAAGGGCGACAGGCACACGCCTCCCTACCAATGGGCTCTTCAGGGCATGCAACTGGTTGCTGGCGAATGAGCTTCATGTTTCAAAAGAGTGCACAAAACAAGGGTTATTTTGGGCACGGTAATCTTCTGATTTTTGCCAGAAATCGTATCTTAAACTTGAAAAGCCTTCCAGATGAAAATGGCACTTGCGCAAAAAGTTCTGCTTTTGAAGAATCGGCATCTTTAAAAGCAAAAGGAAATATTTCTCCAAAATTTCTCAGTGAGTTCATATCCTGAGGTACCTCAGGGAACTACAATGTGCATCTTTTGGTTGGCTTGATTAAGTCCACCGAGATTTAGAAGTTATGTTTGAAAGACGAGTAGTGGTTGATATCCATTGATCATTAAACTAAAGCTGGGAGTCATGTGGATTTTTTATGGCTTGCTGAGGTAAGGGAAAAGAGACAAACACCATTTTTCTCTCATTCTGACAATAACCTGGGAGCCCACAACATGAAGTTTAGAAAAACAGTAAAGCTATGAAGATTCAGACCCAGAGGGGTTCTGTGTAAGCTAAGCTTCTGGTGGTCGATGAACACTGACTTTTTGGTTTTGGTTATGTTTAACTTATTTTGTTACATATATGTAGCTTAATTCTATGCTCACTCAGATTCTTGTGGGATAACTGATTTACTTTCTGAAAAGACCCAAGCTAAAGGTATTTTTCTAAATTTATACAGTTCTGCTTCTTACATACTCATGCTTACCGTCCTGATATGTCATCCAGAGAAAGAAAGGGGGAAGCAACTCTTGCAGACACATGAAATTATGCAAACCAGGTAATAAGGGTTACTTTGATGACAGTATAATTAATTTTTAATTTTTCCATAATGACTAAAACATCACATCCTAGCAGATGGCTATGAAAGCAGCAAGCATTGAGCATCAATACTCCTTTTTACAGCAATGCGCAACCATATTATCCATCCTGGAAAAATAATGGATTATGGTTCCACTTGTTGGCATAACACAATCTGCAACATAGTTCTGAGATGTGAGTTAACCCCTGAGACAATGACTTTACTGAATGAACAAAGCCACTGCAGCTTTTTGATTCTTACTTGCTATTTAATGTCTTTGATATATATTTATGTGTAGGTGGATGTCATAAAATAGATGTAGCAGCATGCCAAATTTGGTCTATGAATGCCACAGATCACTGTCCCCAAAGCTTTGTAAATTAAATTTCAATGTCCGAGATAAATTTAATTCTGGAATGTATCTATTTATGTGATCATTAAGTGCAGAGGTATGCACAGCAGCATTAGCCTCGACTGCCAAGACTTTTATGTCTCAGAGTTCTGATTTGCCGTAATTCACTTCTGTTTTACTTCAGCAACTTCATGGACAATGATGCAGTGAAATACACACAAGCTTTAACATATTATGAATATGTGTGCAGAATTTGGGACCCTCAAGAGAACGATTCAGGCATCCTTTTGAAAGAAAATGAACATTTTGCATACAAATATCCTGCTGCTCCTTATTTTCTAAAAAAGTTAAACAATGGTTTTAATACTGCTTCTCCATTAGTGACCCTTTCTTTAAAGACTTTATAATTATTAGCAATAATTGGTCTGGCAGAATTATTTTCATTCAGATGCAGAGTGAATATCCAATCTTACTACCTGTACAATAGAACTTTTTTTTTAGGCTTTAGTTGATCTGTGTAATATTCCACAGTCTAAAGGAGATCCATGAAAAAAAGGATCTCAAAACTCCAGGCAAAGGATGAAAACTATGATAGCCTGTGAACAGAGGAGTGACACCGCAGGATCTTTGCTATTTCTCAGCCTCTAGATGTGTCAAATCAGCCTGTTCTGCAGTAGGCACCCTGCAATAGGTGATGGTCTTAAAATTATGTCACCACTGGCTAGAAAAGTCTCAGAAATGCCAGTCTCTTGTGAAATTTTTGCAATAGAGGTATCAGTGTGGTCTTCATGACATGCTCTTGTTCTACAAACCTTCACTTAATAAATAATTTACTATAGAAAATACTGACAAATTAAAGGGTACGTTTCTAAGCCTCAGGGCTCTAAGAACAATGTCCTAACAGCAAGCCACCAAATGTAATCTTAGGATTGTTTATCTGTGACACTTTCAAAATTGTCCTTGTTTTAAGGCACTTTAAACTGAGACACATCATCTGAGCCCTCTGCTATTGTTAATTTGCCATTTACTTTAGAATCACCAAGATTTTACCACCAAAATGTTAATACCACTAAGGTATGTGCATATAATCATGAAAACTAACTCCGTTCAAGGGAGCCAAGTGTCTATACATTTCCTCCGTAATCAGTGGGTCTCTGAATGTTTTTCCTCTTTCTAGGGAAGGTTTGACCAACCTTCCTAGCTACAGCTAGTTGTTGTGCACACCTCCTTAATAAACATTTTTAAAAATACCATAGAATAGCATGGCACTTTTATAGTACAGAAGTATGACTCACCACAGTACTACACAGTATAACATAAAAAAATCAGAAAGTAACTTTCTATGGAACAAAAATAACCTCCTCCTTATAATATATTTTATCTTATTTTCTTCTGCACCTGAAAAGAAAAAGACTAAAATATTAATATTCAAGACTAGGTAATGTCTCTAACTTATATGAACAAAAAGGAAAACTATTTGCAGTTAAAAGTTCTTTTTTTAGAATCAGACACTAAAGATGAACTAAATTAAATACCAAGTATTGGTTTTACATGCTAAAACACACTTTACGATAAAACTAACCAAAATATCTGGCTAAGGGATACTTTTAGGGGATACAGTTAAGGGATACAGTTACTATAAATAATGAATTAAGTCTTTTCTCTTGTTTCTTAATTTGCCCTGGAGCGCTGGAGTCTAAATAGTCCTCAAGTAGCTTATTAGCCTGTGAGGGATGGAAAGGAAAACTTATACTTCTAGTTGTGGTATCAAATAACTGCAGATAAAAAATAAAGATAAGCAGTGGAAATCAGTTAAATCAATTTAAAAAACCCCAAATATAAATACTAACTACACTTAAAACAGGAAAAAAGATATACTGGGCTATATTGGACTGATCATTAGCTACTATAAATCAGCCTGACTCAATATCTACAAAAAACCCCTTGTTTTGCTTTGAAATGCTACCATATAGCTCTCAAGATAATGCCATGTATTATGCTCACAAAGTATTTCTGTAGGTTTTTCTTTCAGATGAAAGTCCAGCTACAATCATTCCTCTTTTCATCTTTGGCTGCCAGTAGCACTTGAAAATACGTGATGGCACATATGGGTATGTACACGTGGTATTTTGCAGGCAGATACAACCGCTGAGCTGGCTAGCTGCAGCCTCCCCTAAATCAGAAGCTACCTGATTACGGATAACTACACGCTTTACTCAAGTGACCAAATCTTGTTGAGCTGCACAGTGAAGTAACTTGCGCTCAGCACCATCCTAACACAGCTCTGTGGGTTTTGAGCAAATTGCATCCGGCCACTTTGGGGCACGGGCAGGAGGAGTTCACCTTTGCCTGAAGATGCCTCCCCAGGCTATATGAGATGCAGCAGCTGAGCCTCCTGCAGAGGCTTCACCTACCTCACCTCAGCCTCCTGGAAACTGGCTTCATACAGGAGCTTCAGGATGGCAACACTCTGTTCTTGTTGTCTTTACCACAATAGAACCATTCACTTTCTCTACTACCAGTCTCATTGCAGCAAAGCAGAAAATGGCAATGCAACATGGTTTGATGCATGACTAAGACTGCTGTCCCTCTCAGTTACATCTGTCAAAATCAAATTTAATAAACAACTGAGATTGTTTCTTGTTGAGGATGCTGTGACTGCATTGATTTAATGTCAGTAATCAGATGTTATGTAATACACTTTGCATCAGTTATTTAAACAATTAAGGCCATTATCACTCACTCTCCATTCATCCCTCAAAAACATTCAATTTGAAGGATGTTATGGCACATAATTTGTATGCGCGTATTTGGATACAAAGGTACTATGACTTAGTGAGGTTGGCTCAGAAGCTTGAAGGAACACGTTGGAATATACTGGATAATATTTAGAGGATGAAGATGGTAAAGATGAGGCTAAGCACTCACAAGGGGATCTAACTGGTGGTCCTCCCTGAAGCTAAATGACTTACAGAGATAGCATCAGTAGCCTAGCACCAAAAATGACTAAACCAGGTCCAGCCTTTGCTGGCCTCTTGAACAACTGTATCAAGTAAGTCACTCGTGGTAGGCAGGGCCACATTTCCTTCTCCCTGTCAAACTGAACTGAGTGGTAGCGTACTCCTGTCCTCTTCAATTACGGGTGGGCAATGACTGGTCTAAACACATGCCCCCAACAGCTTGTTTTCACAGTCACGGTGTAAATATTGCTCAATAAGCCTGCTTTCTGGAAGTGCTGCTCCAGGAATGAAATTCCCCTTCGAAATGTTTTTGTTTTGAAGAAATGGTTTTCATTTTCCTCAGTAAAAAACAGTTTGCCTTTTTTTTCCCCACTGGCACATTCCAGTGGGATGCAGAGTAGAGAAGCAGATCCAGACCAACGAAGGCAGACTCTTTTCTCCAATGGCCACAGCTTCATGGCAAATTTTCAACTGGAGCTACACACAGAAGTGAGTTTTGTAAGACTGCAGAGAACCATTGCATTCACCCTCCCAAAAGAAGTTGCCTTATCTACATATAAGAGTAAATGAAGAGTTTCTCCTAACCTGGGAAATATTCTGCAATAGCAGTATGGGAAACCACAGGATTCATTATGAGCGAAAGAAACCTCATGAGCACAGTTTTGTTAGAAACACTGTACATTCTGTTCAGCGCCACATTTTCTAGGGTGATATACTACACCGCTCACCATCTTGCTGGTACAGGGCTGCAAACGCTAGAATTTTGTTGCACGTGGAGAGGCGAGCCAGCATTTCCCCTCCCTGGGGTGGCCTGCTGCGATGCCGCCATCCGCAAGTGCTGGGACAGCAGACGGGTTTAGTAGACAAAGCTCCGTATTCACTCCAGCAGAAATAATAAGCTATGTTCAAGACATGCATTTAAAAACCTGTCATACTTGAGTCTGAATGAAAGATAAGGGCAAATTTATATGTAAGATTCAAACAATGCAGAAATCAGGCAGATTTAAAAACAAGGCCCGATATATGTAAAAGTTGAAATGAACTCCTTCCTTCATTAGGCTAATAAGCAAATTCCTATTATCATTATTGTCATCGTTTACATACTATTACTACTTCTTACTTTCAAGGTAAGGTGTGAAGCTACAAATTATATATCACCTCAAAAATTATTACTTTGAAAACACGGACTTGTTAGTCATCGTTGTATGAAGATTTCTGTACCATCACCAAGTCCTGCACTGACCAGAGCATGGTATCCCAAATCCATTTGTACAGCCATTCTTAACTAAGCAATTTTTTGCAATACCTTTCTACTTAACATCACTAGAGAGAATAACAGCAATTGCCACAATCCGCCAACTTTGTGGGGACATACCCCGTATTCATAAGCATTCCCTTTAGGTTAGTGCTCATAAAGAGCTGCTTCAGCTTGTAGCCAGGAGGAAACAGTGAGAGCATTTGGCCGACCAACGTCCCTTTCCTGGGTTCCCCAAAGTGCCAAACCTGCACTAACCGTGTGGGGTTGCTCTGCAGCATGTTGACATACAACCCGATGAGTACATGTTCATCAGCCAGCCTGTCTGCAACATCGAGGCTGTACTGTAACCTGGAACGGGGTCGGGGGGAGAGAGGGGGCAGTCCGGACAGACAGAGGGAAATAAACAGAGAAAGCAGGAGCAAGTAAGATTGTGAAATGGGAATTTAGAAGCGAATACTTAAGTGTTCTTAGAAAAAAAACAACCCAAGTGCAGAAATTATTTTGTTATTATTGTAATTTATATGTTAAGTATTTAATGGCTTAGGATGGTTGAATCCCACTCAATTACAGAGCCAGCCTCAGAAATCAGTGAGATGCCAGATCGGGACAGGGACTGGAGCTGTACAGTACCATTTATTTCAAAATACAGCAGACTGTGAGGTCGGCACTATTTGCTTTAATATGTATTAATATATACATTAAATATACATATGTTACACACATGATTAACATACTGAAATCACAAGCTGGATTTGCTTGGAAGTCTGATCAAGACCTCACGCATCCAGGTGTACATAAATACATTTAAACATGCCCTACTTAGCTCACTGGGTTAATTGGTTATCACAATTTTCTCAGGAAAGATGTTACTAGAATACATTAAAAGTGGGAGGAATAGAGGAAAAGGTTTTGGTTTAGCTGTGTTAGTGCAAGCTACGAACGTACTCTCTCTTTAACTTACCCTTTGCCTTTCAAGAAAGCTGGAGCAGCCCTAGCCAGCAGTTTGCTCTGCTCTACTTCAGTATTCTTGGAAGGAGAGCTAGTTAATAAGACAGGAAAACTAAGGAGAGGGCAACAGTGATGTCTGAAATTCATTACAGAACAGAGTTTGGAGAAACTCATTCAAGTGCCCTGGACTGAATAAAAACAACAACAGAAGCTTTAAAGAAATTTTAGAAAATTTCAGCAAATGCAGAGTCAGGAATTGGAGTTTTCTCTCCTGTTCTCCAAAAGCAAACTATAAAGCCGTCACTACATAAAAGACACACAAAATGTGTTTCTCTCACAAATGGAGAGCTGAAGGCTTGTGTAGTTTCCAGGTGGAGTCCGAGATAAACATCATCTTAAATGCAGCTTTCAAGGTGGGAAAGCTTCACCATAACAGCTAAATTGCTTTTCTCCACATTTGCCATAAAACAGTTTCAATAATCTATGGAAATGTACTTATTTAGATCCAGTGATGGGATACACCAGTTTAATGTTCTTCTGTTGATTTAAAAAAATATATAGTTCATCAAACCCACTTTTTCCCCCCCTAATTACAGTATTTAATGGATTGCAATAACTGCATCTTTCCCAGTGCTAAAATATCCATGTTAATAAGATAACACTGGCTAAAAATTGAGAGATTGAAATGTTAGTTTTTCTTTCATGCTGCAGCGTTTTTGGTTTAAAAAACAACAAAGCAAAATAAAAATATATTCTACTTTCTTCTTTTTAAAAATTATTCATCTTTATTTTTTGGTTTGGCTACTGATATAGAAGTAAAATGCATTCAAGGGGTACAGGGTGTGCCATTTCAGCCAAAAATGCAGCTTTTGGTTCTTAAAGACAAATACATGGCCACAATGGGAGACCAAAGACCCCAGGGCAGATTTTGTGCTTTGCTTTCTAACAGTGCAGTGTGATGCCCCATCTACCAACCATAAGTTCTCCTCTCCTATGCTCTAGAAGCAACATAGTTAGGGTGGAGGGACAGGCAAGCAAATGTTACTCATTGAGCAATGGATATCATGTCTATCAATGTCCATTTCCTTCTTAGTTGATTAAGCAAACTTGTATCTCCCAACCTCTTCTTATGAGTTATGTTTTCTAAGCTTTTCTGGTGTTTAGGTGTCTCCTCTGGACCCTGTCATGCTGGTTAGAATATTTGTTCCCATGCTGTTGCCCTGCACTGGGTGCAAACTTCCAGGCAGATGTCTCCTCCTCCAGGGAATGAGTTTTAATGGTTTTCTACATGATGTCCCAGGGTCAGATGCAATCTAACAATCATATCTGTTACTTCAATTAGTTTGTGGTTCACTGCAACTGCTAGGTCCTCTGTTGAAGTATTTCTGTCCATCCAATTACGCTCCATCTTTTATTTGATTATTTGCTTCCTTGCTACAGCCCTTTTCACTTATAATTATTGAGTTTCCTCTAACTGATTTCAGATCATTTGGACATCAATTACTAACATTGCAACTGAGCTCATTTTTTAATTTAGAAACTGCTCTCCAAGCACTCCTTCCCATAACTATTTCAACCTTTGTACCATCTACAAATTGCATACACTCACTCTATTGCTCCCACTAGGTCATTACAAGAAATAGTGCATAGTGTGTGACTTAGGACAGCCTTCAAGAATCCCAGCTGATATGTCCTCCTCCTAGAATGACAGCAAACTTTTGAGAATGTAATTACTGATTTTCATTGTTGCTCTTATACTAATTTTCCCTAGTCCGTATTTCCTTTGGGTACTTCTGTGTCATCTGGGACTATGTCAAAAGTCATCTTAAGGTCAACCTGTATCATATCTGCTGCTTCTTTTTTACCCACTGGACCAGTTATACTATCAATGAAATAAATTTGTTTGGTTTGACATAATTTGTTCTTGACAAATCCATGCTGGTTATTTCTCATTGGTTTATTATCCTCCAGGTGCTTACTAATTCTTTCATAATTTCAGTATCTTTGGATACCAAGGTTAGGCTGTCTCCTGTATAATCCCTTTGATCTTTGTCCCTGTTTCTGCCTTCAACCTTCCTTCATTTGGAAGAGCTGACATTTGTCCTCCTTGTTCTTCCACATCTTCCTATATCCTCCACATATTCCCCAAAATACAGCTAATACTTCAGAGATTGTTTTGGCCACAGTGAGTTTCCCTGGGTCCTACCAACTAGAACATATATTTTAAAGATATATTCCTGTTAAAATGGAACATTTTGTAAGATGCCAAAGAATGCCTCCCCATCCAAATTAAGAGACAAAACCTCCAACTCTGAGCAGATGTCTACAAAGATGTAGACCTAGCAATATTGGTGTAAACATTATACCCTCTTTAGTGTCTACCTGGCTACTAAACAATCAGACATATAAACCTTTCCTTTAGCAGGTAGAATATTGCCGATGAAATAAGGAGGATTTTCATCTTGTTCTGAAAACAACATATGAAGGCAACATGCAGTTCAAGTCAACCACACTCCTTAGAGATAGAAACATGGATTACAGCAGCAACCTGTATGTTTTGCTCCAGTTAGCTGTTGTCCAGAAACTTGGCCTAATCTCTTGCTATGCCCACGTACAATATCTAATTCTTCTTAGCTTTTATGTGGAGTTCAAAAAAGGCACCAGCTATTCTGACTCAGCATTAAATAAGACTCAGTTTCTTCTTGGCTATGGGCATTTGATACCATAGTGCATTCTTCCTATCTACCACAGAATTGCCAAGTAATTTCAAGTTCAGCAGAATGTGCTGCATCACTCCATTTATTCCAGTTTATTACTCCTTTAGAAGAACTAAAGGTATTAGCTGTGAGGGGGGGACTGAGAAAAATGCAAGAAAAAACATTTTATTTCATCTTATCCCACCTTAGCCCTATAATTTGATAGCTTAAAGACAACATTTATTAAGAAAGAGAAAGAGATTGTATCCATTACTGTGGTAGCTAGGTACTTTAAAGCAGCACTGACAGACTGCAGCTGGGGAACAAAAGAATCCAAATAAGGAAGAAAACATTAATTCAGGGTATAGAATTATTCTTCTTGACTGGACAGAAGTTTCTATAATGCTCAATTTACCTGTTTTCATATAACATATTCAATTCATTGGGTTTGCAAGGACATTACCTACTCTGCAGCAATGTTCCCTTCTTCTGTTGCCCTCTAGGTAATCGAAGATCACAAAAACAAATGTGAGATTAAAAATGGAAAACAGTAAAAAAATTACAGGACTTGTGGTTTTAATCACATATTAGCTGTCATTGCAGCAAACGACTGTGATTTAGTATTTGGGAGAAGATCACAGATTTTTTTGTTTCTTCTTTTCTAATGTAAGTGCTTTAAAATTGTTGAGCTGTACAGAGCATATTGTTGTTATCAATTTCTACGCTGTATATATTTAGAAGAAAGGTGCTTGTAATTTTTACACCAACCTCCTCATTAAAGCTCTCTTATGGACTTGGTGGCTCAAACTAAGAAAAGCAAGCAGAGAAATTTTAAGTGGACTTTGATTCTGAAGAGGCTTGAAGAAACTGAGAAGCATCTCAGGGAAAGCCTGAATCTGACCTCCTTTGAGCTTTGGAATAATTGCGTACCCACCCAAAATCGATGCTTCAGATGCAATTAAGCTGCAAATAACATATAATGTTCAGTCTCCTTTCAGCTGTTCCCCACAATTTGTCATTGTATTTACTAGTTATCAAAGATCTTTCCTCTAATAAGATTCTTCTTCTTCCCAGTTCATTTCCCTTTTTCACCCGTGAATCCAGAAATGAACATGATATTGTGCTGAACTTATGAGACCATATCCATTTCCATGGATATCCACACAGCAGAATGAGTCAGTGTGCTGAATTCAGCATTTGCTGGTACAGGGAGAAACTGGTTGCGAATGGTTACGTTCTTATGTGAACAGAACTAGCTGAAATAAATACCATGGGAATGCTACAAATGACGGTCTGTGCCTATTCTCCTTTGAATAAACATTCTAATTATATAAAAACTTCATTTAAAGCTATCTGAAACCTCTGGACTACACTGCAACACAAATTGAAGTAACCATAAGTTATCTGCAGTAAAAACACAGCCAGCAGAGTTTTTAGCGTTGATTATGTTCAGCTAGACATTTTATCCTGAGTTTGTACAATTTTTATTATAATATGAATCATGGAGCATTTAATATAAAATCATAATTGCAAACAGAGCTGTCAAATTCTGTTTCTCTGATGTACAAGAGGATGAGCTTCCACTAATGAGGCCTGATTTTCCCAGGGCAATAATAATAGTAAAACCTAAAAGATAGTCTAATACAGATTGAAGAGCTTGGCATTTAGCAGAAAAGTACCTTGGTCTCAGTACCTTCTTTCTGAATTATAGCTAATGCTCATGGATTAATCAAAAAAGAAAAAAAGAAAGGTCATTACACTCCACAGTAAAAAAAAAAAAATGGGGAACTGTTCTTATCCAACTGCATATTTCTTTTATGCAGAATGAAATAGGCTCTTCCTTTAGGTCACTAAGATGAGAGGAAATGCTGGAAAAATGGTGCAGCAACCAGAGGCATCGGTCCAAATCCAACGTTCACTACGTAAATGGGAAGTCTTCACCAGCTTCAGTAGGATTTAGATCCACCTTTTCTGTGGCCATTTTGAAAAGCAAAGCAAAGGGGTCTGGGCAAGGCAAGGTTATTGGCAAGCGGTGCTAACTGCAGAACAGTAACCACCAGCAGCGAGAGCCGTGGAAGACAAAGAGAAGGCTGGCTGAGACCTGGAATCATTTCCAGGCTCTCGTACAAGTCTTTTTCGTTCCTTGGTCAAGAACGCAACAGGCAAGTCATACACTGATGATGAAACCATAAAGGTGTAGTTTTTTCGGTTTTCAAAAACAATGTTTCCAACTTCCACTAGATACGTTAATACGAATCCTACGTGAAAGGGTAAAATGAAAGATTTGTGCTGTGCAGAAGCAAGAGAAGTTGGCAAAGCCCACAGCCAGCAGGAAGTCTATTCAAAAGACTAATTAGAGCCACAGAAACCCTCTAGCCCACCAGAGCCTTCCTTAAAGAATATCTTTAGTGGTTTAGCAGAATCGCTAATGATTTAGTGCATGAGCTACAGAACTATGGCGATTAGTGGGTTAGTGCTCTCATACTGACCGTGAATTGTTGTGAAGCTGATTTACATACAGCTTTATAAGGGAATGCTCATCAGCCACAGGACTGGCTGCATTTATACCCCCAAGTAACCTGAATGATTCAAACAACGAAACCTTGTTAATACCCTAAAAAGTATACAGAGAGCAGTGTATTCAGAGTGGGTTCATTACAATAAATGCAATTTGCAACCTTTCAGAAAGGATACTGACTTGACAATTTGTAGGGTGCTTTTTCTTTCGAATAAAAAGATGCAAATTAAATTTATAAGAGATGAAAATAAAAATGAGACAAAGCTGTCAAACACTTAAAATCCTGCTACGTCAATGAAAACAAAAGATACAAAACTTTTAATATACAAGCAATGTAATTGCTTTACATATCAGGGTACTGTTAACTCTAAAAAAGCCAGAACTGACTGCTGCATCATGGAAACTTTTTGCTGTATAAGGATGTCATACTATCCACTTATAAGGAAGTCTGGGTACCTACGGTTGGGGGGGGTGGGGCAGTTTATTGTCTCCTGCCTTCAGGGGCTTCTCCATCAAGGGGTTCTTCCTCTTCTCCTTCTTCAAGGAGAAAAGGAATTCTAATGGCTCAGGAATCATGTACGTTTAATCCTGAGTCAGTTGAATTACTAAAGAACACAAAAGTAAAATAATCAGGAATTTTTCATATGTAAAGAAAAACAAGCAGCACAGTAGATAGTGCTGTGATTATTACCACAGGTCCCTGGCCTAAATGGCAAAGCACACTTTCGTTAAATGAGCACAGGGACTTCTTGGGGATAAACAGAAGCAACAGCTACACTCTTAAAGAGCATTGCTCTTAATGACCTGTCCTGGAAAGGCCACAAATAGATTACCCTGCCTTACACATAAAATCCCATATATTCCAACAACAGAAATGAATTTGCATTTGCAGTCTTACTGTCTGTATAGGCAGCAGATCTGGTCTTGGGGGCTGCTTTGGGACTGGCTTTCAAAAAGCATCTGAATCACACCCAGCAGCTCCTTGCACTAAGATAACACTGAGAGTTTACAGTTTACAGCTCCTGCTAACAAAGTTCATAAATCAAAGTAGTAGTAAACCATCTTTACTGTGACATTGCCGTGTGATACACTGTGGGTTTGGTTTTGGTGTTAAAATATGTAGCCATGCATACCCAGAGATTGTGTTTGGTTATTTGGCAACGCTGAAGCACTGACACATATAGCAGGAATCAAGCAATAAAATGCACCCAAGGAAAACATATTGCTCATCTTCCCCAATACAGCAGGAAGTTATTTTTCTGCCACCTTCTCATCTATGTAGGCTTACATAGACTGGGTGAGACAGCTATCAAATGCTACACACATTTTGGCTGTATGAGACAAAATACTGAGCCAAAAAGTACGTAGTCAGCTGCAAGCACCTTCTCTTCGGGATTAATGTTTCTGATGACTCTTCGCTGGTTTGTTTGCTGAAGGGTCACCATATTCCAAAACTACTCCTTCTCTCTTGTAGCCTTTAATGAAAATCTGAATGGTTTAACAGAAGTGAGGATGCCTTGCTATATCTTTCAAGTATGAACACATTTTCTCTTTGTTCATACTGTATTTTGCAGTACGATGCAGGCATTCCCAGTAGGCAACGGCATGTCCCAGTTCCTATTCCCACAGTGCCGCTACACAATGGCTTCTCATCGACAGCCCGTTTTCAGCCCCTGTGGGAGGGTGCCTAAGTTGCATGTGAGCACATTTTAGCGGGACGTAATGGTTCAAATGAGAACTGAAGTTCTGTGCTCTGCTGTGAGGAGCTTGGGGTGCCCTACCTCCAGCTCTCTGTCCAGATATCTGGGTATCAGTCCGAAATAACCAAGGCATTTCTCTGCTCATGTCTGTTAATTTTATTTTGTGGGTGGTTTTGGTTTTTTTTTTCCAGGGAGGGAATTGAAAAATCGAAACCTCCACCACTATCATATAATGGTTTAACATAAATAAGGATAAGAACTCACCTTCTGTTTGCAAAAGGACTTCCTGAGGGAACAGAGTGGGAGAAGAGTGTGTCGTTCATGCTGGTTACAGGTCGGGGGGGCCTAGAAGAAGGCAAAATACCTAGTTGCATTAATTTTGCACACAAAACCCTCCATCAGCAACAGTATTTGAATGAGCTTCTTGTTTAAAGTAACATTACTACTGGCATCTTCTGCTTTAAGTAGCAATAATTCCAAATTAAAGATGTTGTGTTTTTAAGCAGAAGTTGATAAAAACACAGTGTTACTTAGACCTGGAAGGAAATAATGCTTTTGTGTGTTCTGAGGTGAGTTTTAAGCAACTTGCTTGATTTTTTTGCTTGCTCTGGCAAAACCCCCACTATGCCATTTTTCCTTTCCAGAGCCTGTAGTCCAGGATGCAGTCGCTGCTTTCAACCAGCTAGGCTGAGCACTGGTAGCAGGTTCCCTGTGGCAGCATGGAGGTCTGCAGGGGCTAACTGCCAATAAATTACACATCTTTTCATGAGGTTATCCCTGGCACTAAGGTCCATGCTACCATATCCACATAGTGACCACAGTGTACCCATAGCCCTCAGTATCCCATAAAATACATGTAGAAGTAAACTGCTTTAATTGCAAAGCTTTTCAACTCATATATCAAGCCCCCAAATCAAAATTTAAAGTAAGTATCTAGTTTAAGAGGACCCATTAATAATGATGGTTTTATTACTACATTCTTTATTTCCTGCTCTTACTAAAAATGAAATGAGAAGGAGTATTTCCCCTGCTTTCTTTTATTGTCTACTCTCAAAAAATATTTTGTGCATAATTTTTCCTTCTGTATCCGTTAAGGAGAAATTTCCCCTTCTTAATGGACTTCTTATGCAACATTGGGCAAAAGATATAGACACTCTGGAAAAACTAAAAAATACGTTACTAAAATCACAGGGGTTTCAATCAGATATGAGCAGAACCTGAAGCCATATATAATTCAGACTTCAAATTGCCTAGATTTCAAGTTGCTTAATATCCCCTTCAAGGTTCGTGAAAGATCTGTCTTGCTTTCTGAATTCTGCAGATGTGCAAATCAAAATCTGCAAAATATTCACTGGGCTCCAATTGTGCAAGAAAAACGGTCATCCAAACCATTAGTAAGAAATGAAGAAAGCCAGTTCTGCACAGAAGTGAACTATTACTGCATATTTTCTTTCTTATTTTGTCACTGTTAGAAAACAAGCATAAATGTGGCTTTAACAAGTCCAAATGGATTTCTCAGCATGACAGTGCCACACCGATTTTAAGAAGTTTAAAACCTGGAATAGAAAGACGTATGATTTGGCATATTATTTATTTATATGAAAATATAGTTTTAGCCTAACCCTGCATCTGCAGACCCACATGAAAAACTCCAGTTCTGGTCAGTCACGAATTTGAGAAGCAGCACTTTGTGCTCTATGTACTTATGGAGAAGTGTTTAATATTATTTTTCATGGACTCCTTCATCAGAGCTAGGAAGAGCTTGGATGAGGCCATGGTCAGAGCCAATCTACTGGAAAGGTCATTGTGGTATGAGTCTTGAAATACAGAGATTTGAAGATAAACTTTGAGAGAATACTTAGAAACTAATTTTATTTAATGGATAAGCAACCAGTAATCTGTTCCCTGGGAATTGTAAACTGGTAATTGATGTAGGAGAAATAGTTCACACCAACTACATGTGACTACTGCATTTTTCCTTTTCTCAGTGCAATCCCTGACCAGGGAACACATTCAAAAACTAATTGGGCACAGGCTGGGGTTTCTGAAGGATGGGTCCAACCCTGGGCTGTGGAGTCCTAAACAGCAGAGGACAAGGGAGGAGAGGCTGGTTCTCGACACTGTCCCAGAGAAGGAGGCAGGAGGAGTGCTCCCTTGGCAGAGCGTGGGCTCTGCTGTGCCTTACACCCAGTCCACCTCTGCTCACTGAGTAGGAAGTGGGTATGTGGCACCCATGGACTTCAACAGATTACCACATACCCACTTCAGGTTAATGCCTTCTCTAAGCTTTATCTCAAAATAAGGGTGGAAGAGAGTTTCTAACCCCCAGAAGAGCTCTTCCCTTTCACTGTCTCTGTATTCAAAGACAATTATTTATTGTGCTCTGGACTCTGATAAAAAGTTAAGGATTGGTAATAATGAGATTATCTCATTTTTTCCAAGCTTCTTCCTCCGATAAGTGTACTAAAGAAGAAAAGTACTCACCAAGTATCTCTTTTGCAGGCAAAATGAAATGGAAAAGAGATCATTAATCAAATCGTCAGTTTAATATGTATGTGGTCTAAGTAGTGCATTGGACATACTCCATTCTTATGATTCTGCAAAAAGCATGAGAGCCTCTACACATAAAGAGTCATTGATCTGTTTACATACACAGAGTTATTCTTGTATACAAATGTCTATAAACTCCAAGGCTTTGCTAAGGTTCTGTGATCAGCATTAGTTTGTCAATTCTTATATGAAGCAAACTATATTAAACTAATCTGAGCTTTCCCAAGCGAAGTTTCTTAAAGGCTGATGCTCACTGTCACATTCCTCAGGTTCAGCTTGAATATCAAATGGATGTTCAAACATACATATACAGTTGTGTGATGTGATAAGACAAGAACAGCAGACTTTATGGTAAAGCAAAGGAAAACTCAGCTATTGACTATAAAAGGTTATTTCTAAACTTCTGGAAGTGAATGATTAAGCCTTCTGATAAAAGTGAGCTGATGATACTCAATCAACTTTCCTCAAGGAGGCAGAAAACACTTAATACTATTGAAATACGCTGTGTAATAAATGCATGTTATGGCATAACACATACCCACAGTAATAAACCAAATTAAATAAGAGGAATTTTCCAAAGTGCTCCATGCTGCTCTAACCTCTTCACACTCATGTCAGAAATAATGCTCCCGCAGGCTTAGGTGGAAACAAAGTCAGGCCAGTGCAGAATGAATTTGAAAAATGCCTTCATGATGCACTGGCCACGCCATTTGTCATCTCTGCAGTCTGGTGTTTCTTTTTTGTTGCCAATCTTACGTATACAAAGGAAAAATGACACCTCCATCGGTGGGGGGAGTTCCTGCATCAGGTCAATGACACCTTGATAACTACTTCTCTAGATGAGCCTTAGATGTGTTTCTTGCTTAATTGAGAATTTTGTGTGGCACCAGTAAAACAAAAAACCCATGCAGTCTTTCTGTCTGGTACCACTCAAAGGTGGAAGAACGATGAAAAGGAAAGGCTGTATAGTAATGCAGAGAGTACTTGTCCCCATTTAAGCTAGAAGCTAAGAAAAGGTTACTGTTTTGTTGGTAAAATTCTTCCATTTAATGCACATATAAAACCCTTTTTGCCTGGATTCCTGCCCAGAGCTGTTTCTCTAAACTTCCATTATGTTTAAAAATAAAAATCACATCAGCGAGAAGATATTCTCAATAAGGTACTGTAGCATATCTTTCCCCTCAGTTAATTTATGTGAATTAGGCTGTAGATCATGCTACCTCCACAACTTACAGGTTTTTCACTCACGTATCATTATAGCCAATATATATTGCCAAGTTATATTGCCTTCAATCTACGAATAAAGAGAAACTCTATCATAAAACAAAATAGATGGTGGTTTGTTCTTACATCCAATCACTCTGAATTATGTCTATATAGTTAGGAAGAAGGGAAGGTGTTAATTTCACAGCAAAGATTTGGAACAGATCCTACTCAATTATGGTACCTTGCCTTGCCTAAATACATTTAATCCATTCACAGTGGCCCAGTTTTCACTACCCGTTATCTTCTGACATACCCCCAGGCCTTCGAGGGCCTCCAGCCAACAAGGAACAGAGGCTTCTCTTTCAGCTTCATGCTCCCTGTCTCTTTCCATTTCTCTTTAAGGATAGCCAAAATCTGCCCTGTGAAATTATCACCGACTTGCCAGCAGAGCCAGGCTTTTATACCACGCACAGCAGTGGGGTAGCTTGGCAGATCCAACTCCGGATGATTTCTTCCAAAGAACAACATCCTCCCATTACACCTCCACAAAGAGGTGCAGGGCTTTTAACTGACAGTCGAGTGTAACAGGGATTTGGCACTACGTATCTGTCAGAAGCACCTTGTGTCTGAAGAGCAGAGCACTCTTTTATGCCTTGAAAAAGTTCTGCTATAACCACACAAGGAGGACCATCGGCATGATTTATCCTTAAAATATAGGTGAACTTTCCACGTGTCGCACAGCCCACAATGGCTGGTGTGCACTTGCCCTTAAAGATGCTACCTACGAACATTCAGCACTGACAAAAGCATGTATAATAATTACAGACCGGAATAGTTCCAGCAGCCAGTAACACAGATATGCAGCATGCAAATACAATTTTAATGGCTGCTGCCTGAAATGCTTCAGTCAGGGCCCCTGGGAAGATGGTTAAGAAAGATATTTTCTTAAGAAATATATCAGAATAAGAGAAATACTTTAAAGAGAGTATTTTTGGAATAACTTCTCCATGTTAATTTCTTTGTAACTTTCTTCCAACCAACGTCTTGATTTTTCCTGAATTCCATGAAAAAATTAACTTTTTTTTTTTTCCCCCAAAGGGCCCAGGAAGCAAAGGTAAAACAAACAGATAAATGAGAAAATCTGAGCAACTGCCACTATGGACAGTAGACATGCTCTAGAAAAAAAAAAATCCAAAGTGATAATTTCCCCACCCTGCACAAATACATTTCCTCTCTGCTTTGAGTTTCTTGACTCCTGCAGAGAAAAAGTAGTGACACAAACTACTATACCAAAAAATAATTTTGCTTTCCCAAAATATCAAAATGTAAAGATAATAGACTCTCTTCAAGTGACTTGGCAAATAAAGACACACTTCTTACGCAGACTCATATAACTCTTCAGGGCTGGGCGAAGCCACAGCTCCACTAAAGTCAATGAGAACTCTGACACTGATTTCAACAAAACTGGTCAGACTTCACTTTTCTCTGGTGCCTCGTGTCAAGACATACCCGTAATACACTGAAGTTGAGAGTCTCTAGATGACAAAATTAATGTTCTCGGCATGAATACATCCCAAAGTGCTGAAACTCTATGAAATTGCATGGTTATCTCTTGAGAAGAATGGGGACATACCAACATTGTGTCCCAGTATTTGCTTACATGTATATATCCCACTGACTTTTCAAGTGAAGTCATACCAGAAGAACTTTTTTATACTAAATACCCCATCAGCAAATTTGCACTTGTGATGCATTGAGCTTGATAAGCCACAGCTGCCTCCCATTTTGTTCAGAGCTATAGCATCTACACTCGGTGTAAGCAACTCCTACAACAAAGCTTACTTTCTCTACAGCATACAGATACTTACACAATATGAGCCAGGTTTAGAGGTTTTTCAGGCTGGTCAGGGAACATTGGGTGCAAAGGTTCACGGCTGGAAGCACAGCTTAAAGACTTGCTAAGTGCATTAGTTAGCTTCTTAGCAGGTGATTTCTGGGAGGAACAAGGAAGGTAGAGGTAATCTGGACAAGTAAGGTGCATACTGTTTCTGCTATAGGAAGCACAAACCACCAGGAAGCTCTATGGCTTACATACCTATTGACTGACATCCCCCTTGCTCCCTCCCACCCCGAGAGTCTGGAAAGGCAAAGACTGCTCAGTTTGGAGGAAAGATCACTCTTACCTTCAGGGGCCTTTAGAGTAGGCTCAGTGGGGGTATATCTGTATGGACAGATGCAGTTGCCATGGCTTCTTTGCAATGTTGCACTCAGGTAGTATTAAATGAAGGACAGGACAAAGTTAGTGTTGCCTGGACTGGAGCTGGCTCGCACCTCACCATCTTGGGAGTGCAAGCAGAACAAATCTGTGTATGCCTGTCCATACAGATACACTGTACGGGACACTGTTTCCTTCCTAGTTGTGGGCCAGGCACAAGGCTGCTATATTCTTTCCGCTCAGCTCAAGCACCCTGTACTGTTTAGCTGCTGTTATAAGGCTCCTCTTTCACCTCCCGTGGCCGCTGCAGCCCCTGCCACACCAGGGAACAGGAAATTTGAGACACGTGCATGGCGGGAATTGCCCCACCACGGCGACAGCGTGCCAGAAGAGGCTGACGTACTGTCACCAAAAGATGGGGAGGCTCTGCGCAAGAAGCATGCTTTTCACCCTGAAATGCCATCAGCGAGTCTAAAAAAAAAAAAAATCAGTATTTTTTTGGTTTTGTTTGGACACTTTTTTGCAGTTGGACACTTTTCTAAGGAAGGGCTCAGTGTCTTTTAGGCTGTATGGGAGATTCTCAGGGAATCCACTCACATCTGTGCGATTCAGCTTCTCTGCCAGTAAAACGGGGGTAGTGATCCTTATGCTGTCTCCTCCCCCCAAAACACAGCTCTACACATTGAAATTTAAAAATCTTTTTGGAACTTAACAGGACTGGTATTGTATTCGTGCACACACATCCTCCATCAACTTATGACTGTAATCAACATAATAATGAATTATTTCTATTACAGAAATCCAACCTAAATACGTAAAGTTCAGGCTTTTTCTCTTTCATTATAAATGTGATTTCACTCCGAACTGAGAAACAGTTGAGTTCCACTGCACCCATGAACACCTTCAATCTGCATGTGGAGCTTGATACGGATGCATTATGGAGAATGCTAATGAACGCTACAGAAAGGCAATTTCAAACTTGAAGCAAAACATTTGTTTCTGACAAGAAAACATTTGAAACCACTAGGCATGTAGTCACGTCTTTGTCTTCTGCTGAGCAGGAATCTTAAGTTTTCCAATTACTTCCTACCTATAATTACAGCTCCCTGGCTAAGCAAAAAATGATTTTATAGCATGAATTGCTGTTAGGAATGGAGTCAGAGCTACGTAGTGGGCACTCTCCTATTCAGAGACTAAACTCAAGCCATTCGTGTCTATGCAACAAGCAGCAATTAGGACCCACAAAACCAATTACAGACCCAGATCTGCTGGGAGGCAGTGCAGGGCCCTGTGACTGGCATACAGAGAAAACCACGTCAAATTTAACCCTTGCCTGCTCCATCAACAGAAAACCAGTCATTTAAAAAGTGTTAAGCTTCAGAACTTTGTTAAAAAATACACACAAAGTGCTGTACAAACGTGAGTTGTCGCTATATGCATAATTTTCTTTTTTCTGGTAACAATATACTTTTGTAATATTTGAGATTAGTTAGTATTTTTTCTGCCGTCTCTGGATTTGAACCCTGAAGGATTCAGATGCTCTGTGACCAAGGGCTTCTGTTGGGGCTTTGCTCCAGTCCATGGAGAGCCTAGACCCAGGTCTGATGCCCTTCAGAGAAGGTTAATGTAGCTGATGAGACTTCTCTTTCAGCTTAGAAAAAGCATTGAATTATTTTGTTTAACAACGAAAAGACTGAAGTGTGTTTTTCTCTACAGTAAACATGACTGTGGATCTATGCCTGTGACCACACTCAAATCTACAGTGCCAGGACCATCCCAAATGCTACACATATGCTGTAGCCACTCGACTGAAAATATTGATGAATGAGCGTTAAGTATTCGTCATTTCATTTACACGCAGCCAAACAGAGCAAGCCAATGACGATTTTACTGTGAGTCCTGTGGCAACGGGAGAAGCTGCCATGCCCCTGGTGCCCTGCTGCCAGCCCCTCCTGCGCTGCCCTCCCCACAGCACCCACCATCACAGGCGCCCCACATCCTCACCCAGAAAAGACCGTTCCCACCTCCGTGCTCTCCCGACGGCTCCCAAGGCTGGAGCCTCCCTGATGGGGTCGCCGATTCAAACCGGCAGCCCAGCTCCTGGCCTCCCCGTGTGGGACAGCTGCCCGGAGCTGCGGCCAGGGGCTTCTCTGCCGGCTGGAGGGCAAAGCACTCTGTAGCGAGGCGCGAGCCTTCCCTTACCCATGACGTGTACTCTTTCATTTGGTGCTGGTTGCTGTGGGAACCGCTGGCATGGCCCCTCCAGAAGCAGTCCTGACAGAGCTGGTAATTGTGACACTGCTGGCAGCGGTAGCGAAACCCCATCATGCTCTCGCTGTGGCAGTAGGAACACTCGACGGGGTGGAAGACTGCGCGGGAGAGAGAAACACCGAGCCGTAAACCAAAGCAGAGAAACCCCCAGCAAAAGTTTACGGACAAAGCCCCGAACTCAAGGGTGAATCCTTTCTTTGTTTCTAGCGATCTGCAGTGTCGGATGCCGCCTGCAGCTTTGACCCATGAAAACTCGAGTAGCCACCCAGCAACCGGCGCTGAGCCACAGGCAACGCTTCCTACACTGGGCACCAAACCCTTCATCACTTCCGAGCCGATGCCTGCACCTCCTGCTCGCAGCAGTGAAAAATGTGTTCAGTGTCTAACGGAATACATGACAGAGGAAATTCGTATGTGGGAAAATCCCCTGCCCCCTTCAGCTGCGTTACTGGGGGAAGCTGAATGTTCTGCTGTGCTGTGAGGAGCTAAAGCGATGCGCCTCAGAGGAAAAGTCAAACTCAGCTGTCTGATTACTGGAAGCACAAAAATGTACTTAGGCATGTCGTTGTCTCTTAGTTACTGCTGTCGCATCCGTACAACTGGTGTCATTTAGGTACCTATATATGGAGTTGAACACCTAGCTTTGGACGCCCAGATTTGGAAAGCTGGCCATTAAAGGGACCCCTGTGGTCCTGTTCTCTATTCCACTCAGAAGCAGACAGTAACGAGGATTGAAGTCACTGAGCACGCTAAGGCACCAATCACGACATTCTGAAGCCCCTTCCTGGCAATAGTTCTATTTCTGTTTCTCTCTCCTCACTACAGCATGTACCCAATTTACCACAGGGTACTGTACATCTCCTTGTTCCCAGACACCTTCTGCTCTTCTGTCATAAGGTTCAGTCTGGGAGGATTTGGATCAGTGCTGAGCATGTCAGAGTTTTCATTCCTTGCCAGAATTTCGCAGCAGGAGGGTTAGTGCTCTAGTCTGGGAAACAGTGTGAAGCTGGTGAGGGACAGGGACAGGGATGGATGACAAGAGCTTGAGGAAGGTGAGGTAGATAGGTGGCTCTGTAGCCAAGAAGCACTTGGGAACATCACCTTACCCACCTGGGTGCCTTTCAGTGGAAGAGGGATTTATTTAGTACAAGAACACGTACAACCTCCTCCTTCTCCTTTTATCACCAAAAAATGGCTGCACACCTCCTCTTCCACCAGCTCCATTTTCTTGTTGGAAATATGGCATAAATACTTTTATTGCCCAACAGGATGAGTACATATGATCTTTTCTTCCTCCTGCCCCCCCCCCCCGCTTCTTTTTCCCTGCAGTGTCCCAAAGCTTCAGTTATGCTAGAGGTAAACCTCCAAGGAAGCAACAACACAGGAATATTCAACAAACCCCTTACACAACAACCTCTGAGGCAAAATACTGGGCTGGAAAATTGTTTACAAAAAATCTATTTATCTTGCTAAATTAATATTTTCAAATTTTTGTATAAACTTCCTTCATCTTTACATCTTCCTTTTTCTAGATTTAAAGTATTGGAATAATGACTGTCAGCATCCTTGCCTCCTGATGATCATGAGCAAGAAATGCCACATTAGGAACATTTACACGCAGATAAACAAGACAGTAAAAAGGCATTTCCTGTCTCATGTTTTTTTTTCTGTTTAATATTGGCAGTGCTGGTCCTTCCGGACAGCAGAAGCCAGCTGCATCGGAGCTGGGGAACTCCTCCAGAACTACACGAGGAACTGCACAGAGTTTGTGGGCTGCAATTTGGTGGTGCACACAGTGAGATGAGATGCACATGCTTTCTAGCTCTGCCCCTGCACTTTCAGTGCAGCAGCGCCTTCTACAGAAAAAATATATGAAGGGTTTGGCTGGAGGACTACATCTGTGAGTCCATGAAATTTTCCCCAGGTGCTCAAGAAGTTGGAAGGCTGAGGAAGATGTTATTATCCAGGGACATGCAACAAGCACTGTGCAATAATCAAATGAGTTGATCTTCGTGGTCCCTTCCTGTCTTAAAATCTGTGATCTACTCATTTTGGGGAAAGACAACCTTTGAGGAGAAAGAGGCATCTCACAGTTAAATCCTCATCTTCCACACAAGCAAAGGATAAGGATGAATCTGGAACTTCCTTTTCAGAGTATATTGTCTGGCAGTGTAGGCTTAGGAGGAGATCCTTCATAAGGACCTTTTGGCTGGTATTTTGCACTGCACTGGACATCTCCTGCCAAGAATATTGCATGAACGGAAACTGCCAAGCTGTTCCTTCTCTGCTGCCATATGTCATAGCTAATAAAAGTTGTGGCCTTGATAGTTTACCAAATATAAGTGTGTGAATGGATCAAATCCTGTCATTCTTTGCTTATCCAGAGCACAGGAGGAGAGGACATGATCAGGATAATGTCCTGAGCATAGCAAAAATTAAGCCATGTTCCCGGCCGAATGACCAACAGGATTCTTTAAATATTTTACTAGTTACTGTAAAAATAGCACATGGAGTCAATGAACCCAGTATAGTAGCTCCTACAAAACCATCTACAGAGTGAGAAAATCATCACACAAAAGTTTACTCTTGTTACTGTTTTTTGGCAGTAGCTCTTACTTACCATTTTCAACATTTGCCAGTCGATGCAGAAGTGGTAACCACACTAGACATTGTGGTGGGGGATCAGACATGAGAGTATCCAAGAAAGTGTTTAATGTGACTTTTTTCTGCTCAAACAAGCAAACAAACATGCACAAAGAATCAGTAATTAGACATGTCAAAATGATTTTATCTTGTCCTTACAGAAACACTTGGGAACAAGTTTCAGACACTGTTTGCTTGTAGCGCTGGTTTACTAAAAAGAACAAGTGATACTAGCAAAGCTTTTCCGGACTATTTTTAGTAGTTACAATGCATACTACTGACAACTAGCAGTCCTTTTCTCAAGGCTGAGTTGGAGACACCTATCTCTCATTCACTTCAAGACTCTCTTCTAAAGTAATTGCCTGAAGATGCTTTGTGAATAAGGTTGGCATTCAACTTTTCATGTTCTCATGTGTTTTGAGTACCCCATAACGAGTACAAGTGCATGTAGGGTATCACTAAGTATTACCAATTTTCACTCGAAAAGCCACTGTAGAGAATGACTAATGGTACTCCAACAATGAAAATGAAAGAAAATAATGACAAGGGAGTATAATTTCAAAACAAATACAGGGTAAAGACAGACCATCACAGGCAATTGTGTTACTGTAATTTAAGAAACTACACTTCTCTGTTGAGTGATGGCAGCTAGTTATGGGTGAGCTCTGATTGTGGGATGTTGTGTTTGCATACACTCAGGGATCGCAACTGTTCCTAAACTCTCCACACCTGTAAGCACTTAAAGGCCTATGCCCCTTTATCTTTCAAAGAGATTTAAACTCTAAAATATTCCTGTTGATTTAAAAAATGTAATCTAGGGCCTTAAGTTTCTTAGGCATCTGGAAAAAAAGTCAGCACAAATCTTAGTTCATTTGTTTTTTTCAGACCTAGAGGTGATATTTCAGCCTGAGATATCTCCACCATAAATACTTGCTCTTTCCTACCTACTATACTGGTTACATAAGTGTGTACTAAAGTACACAGCTACTAGGTGGTCCAGGACAGAGACTCCCTAAGAAATCAGCAACTGAGCCTTCCTTTAAAATAAAATTAAGATGCAAAAATATTGAGGCCTGTTGAGAATGTGTGCAGATATAATTTATAGATATACATATTTAAGTAGCAGCCCCATATCCAAAGAGATTGCTAAATTTTCCTATCTGATTGCATAAGCTACTGCTTTAACTTGCTAAAGAACTGTGGTTACCCCATGAGGAAGCAAAACAGCAGCTATGCAGTGACATAAATCATCTCTGTGTGTTGTGGAATGCTTTTAAGAGCTGAGATTTCCAGATGGAATGTCTGTGCTGCATTTATACACAACTGCCACCAGATGTAAAGAAAATAATTTTCTCTTATACACTGAGTGATCAGTGGAAAACATCTCACTCTGTAACAGTCTCAGGGCTGAAATACTGCAAGATATTGGGAAATATATAAAGGTATTTGTCCCTAAAAGAAGAGAAAATACTTCAGGCTAGTTGTGAAAATGGTCTTGATTCTTTAATGAACAGAAATAGCCAGAATATGAGCTTAAATCCCACTGAAATACTACCTTTTCCCACAATATCTGCAGTATGAAAGTCCAAACAAACAGCTACCACCTGCTTGTTGTATGAATGATCTTCCCACCCATGGAGAGTGGGTAACCACTTCCCGAACAGGCTTCCTACACTATAAGCATCAGCTCACAGAAAAGGATCTTTCTTTTGGAGATCTGCTGTGGGTGTTTGTCATGGCTTTGCTGACCAATGCCACCAGCAAACGTCTGTGCTGTCTGCAGCAGAACTGAGAACAGGCGGAGAAAAGGCAGAACTAAGTCTAGGAAAAGAAGGGTCCTCCAATGCCCCATACTGCAGAGCTGAGTAGCCTTAAGTCTCCCCTCTGCTCTTCAAGACAGGTAAGTTGGCAGCAAAGATACAACTAACCTAAACAAGCAAATAGCTGGGGAGACAAGAAGAGCTCTTCCACAATGGAATAGGCTTTTGAATGCAGCTATAATTTAAAACCTGATTTGCACCAAATAAAGCAACTTAGCTTCACTGACAGCTTTATGGCCGAACTCCTCTGGTGGTCACTGATTTTATGGATTAGAGAGAGCAGTGTCCAAAAAGAGGACACCAGCAGACCAATTTCCATACATTTCAAAAGGGATGTTTTCCCCCTGCAGTTTTTTTTCAGCTGCTGGGAAAGTTGAAACTGAAAGCTGTTCTCTAAATATATGCTACATGCAGATGGAGTCTAGGTTTGTGGAATAACACTTAGCCAGGTGCTAAGAAAATGAAGTTAGTGTCTATCTTTTTAGTTTGGGATAAAAAAAAGAGAAATAAAAAGTGTTTTTTATAATAATAACAACACTTTTTAACACAAATACAGTATAACATCACATTAATCCTACCTATGGGGGAAAATGGTGGCGATAAAACTCCGTTTTGAGCCACAGATTTGTATTCTGAAACATTAAGTCACTTGTTCTGGCATTTCTGTTCCATAAATTTGCTGATGAGGAAACACTGTTGTTTCTATTTTGAATAGCCATTCAATCTAGCAGTGGTTCACAGATGGAGGAAAATACATGGTTTGAGCAAGTAAACCAGTACAATGAGGAATAAAAACATTTCTGCAATAAGAAAAATCCTTTCAGATGCAAACTGAAATGGATTTGACACTGTGAGCAGAAGATCATTCCCAGAATTTTTTCTTTCGCTGAAATTGAGGAATCTATGTATTAGGGGGCTGAAAGGCTTCTGGTAAGCAAAAGTGACCCATACTGAGAACCACAGAGAGAGTGCCAAACTTATCCCAAGGTATCAACTTCTGATAACCCTAAATGCAATATGAGAGAGTGAAAGAATGACCTACGGTGTGACTAAGACTGTAAGTACAATTTATCATAGTGTCATAGGGATATGTTTTTTTGAGTCTCATTTCAAAACTCTGGTTCATCCCCAGTGAAGAGGTAATGAGAATTACATAAAGTGAATTTAAGTCAAATATTAGACTAGATTTACAAGAGCACTTGGCTGCCTACAGATGCAAAACAGCAGCTTTGTAAATCTGCTGTGTACCTACATCAGTCAGAGACCTAACTCTCATTAGCTTTAAGTGGAGACTGTGAACTAAACCATCTAGTGCCTGTTCAGAAACTTTGTTTCTTAAGGTACCTTAGTACACCAGGGGCCCACTCATTTGGACGCAATGAAAGTGCCATTTCTGATGGCTGCTCAAATAGAAAATGAAGCCTGAATGACATTTTTTCAAGAAAAGAAATTGCTTTTTTCATCTTTATAACACCATGTCCAACATGGGAAGCTTGAATGCCCTGTTGCCATGCAGGAACACTCTTTAATTATTTTAACACAAAACTACCAAAAGTCACTTCACTATGTAAATTCTTCAACATAAGATGAAGTGCTGTCTTAAGTCTCCCTCTGTGAAACAAGACTAGTTTCATATATGCAAACATTACCATTTAAAATGATTTGGGAGATGATTCAATAAATGAATTTCAACAATGCCTTTCAGTTGACTGGAGTGCCTATTGATTGAAACTGAGGGAAAACAAAAAATGAGACTCTATTTTGCATGAAAATTACACTATTCCTGCTCCATTCAACTTATTTGTTCAACGGTATTCAGTTAGCGAATGCAAGGATAAAGAGAAGGAAAATACCACTTTATTTCTAACATTTTCCCAGTTTCAGCACCTTCCCTTAGTTTATATTTATGGAATTATACAGTGTGCTGTGTGGCAAGAGCCAGACAAATCCTCTCTTTCTCCATTGGAGAAGTGGACAACCAGCCGCAATTATGGGATCTTTTGAAGTGCTAGGTATTAGTTGCAGCCAACGTACTGTACTTAATGCAGAGTCTGGTGAGTTGTGAAAAAATCTCGTATTTTCTTCATGATAAATTCATTGCTTTCCTGACCCTACCTCATTGATGTTATCTGTAAGTGACTAGGGGTTTTCTAGTATCTACTGACTCCCATTTTCAATAAAGGTTTAAAGCAATTTTCTACTCACTCGTAAACTTCCTGTGTGTGTACACCATCACTTGGAAAACACGTCGTTTGATTTTTTGGTGGGAGTTGAGCTTTGTATGGAAAAGTTGAAGTCTCATATATGCTTATAGCAACAACAACTAACTGGAGTGGAGGATTGCATGTCTTGGGGTATTTATATCACCTAAATGTAAGTATCTAACTTAGGTGTTTAAATTAGGAAGTTAGTCTCCTCAGGCTCCCTAATTTAGGAACATGTAAGTTAAGATCCTCCTCTGAATCACTTTGTGACTAAGCCTCTCTCTCCTCCATGGATATATGGGAAATCTATAGATACTAGCTTCTTACTGAAGGCACCTAACCTACATGCCAGAAATTAGCAAAGTGGACCTCCCCTCCACCCAGCCATGCGTTTTCTGGGCGAATATGCACATATCTGTAAGAAAGGAAGAAAGTCTTGGCCTGCTCAGAAGGGTGATTGAGATCCTGTGTCTAGGATGCTCGCTCTTCATTTACCTGTTGCGAGAAACAGGATTTTGCTGATTGCTCAGTATAACCAAATGAAGGCCCTTCGAAAACAGCTGTAGGCAGCTTGAGAACCTCCCGCAGAAACATGTCATATCTGCCATAAACCATCACTCCACTGGAGTCGGAAATCATTGAGAAAATATCTGAGGGGGGAAAAGACAAGAAAAGGACACAGCAATTTCAGTGTGAGCTACAGATTTGCTCTTAGTTCAATATCATCTGATTTGAACTAAGGAGTACTAAGCAACATGTTCTGCTTATGGAAACATCCACTATTACTGCATCTTTAATTATAATCTCACTCAACAGAAAACAAAGAGAATGATTTACATATTAAAAAGTAGCTGATTTTGATATTACAATATTCCTGCTTTTTTTTCATTGTGTGTGGTCATTTTTTTAACCAAAGTCTGATGCATGGCATGAAGCAGTAATTTAATCAAATAAGAAGGATCTAATTTGACAAGATACGCAACATCAGCTTTTTGCCTACCGCCAGCTTATCATGTCAAATCTAAATCTTGACAATGAGTTCATTAAGTCAGTTATTATTGTTTTGGACACACAAAGCACTGAAGGTCTTTCAAATGCATTACTTCTGACTCTTCCCCCTTTTTTGCTTTTTTGTTCATGTATAAAAATATTGCAAAGTTTTATTTCTCCAGAGATGCAGGTTTCTCAGCCTGTACTTTTCCCCCTGTTTAGAAGTATCCTAAGCTTAGCAGGGGATGACAGACTAAGGAACATTTACCATTTTTCAGGCTGTCATGTCAGCTACTTCGTTCCAGGAACAAGGGATTTTCTGACAACAGGACCCTGGGACTGCTGACCCGAAAAATCAGTATCATACTCTAGCCTTCCACTGGATGGACCCTGCTCTTTATTCTTAAAGCAGCCAAAGGAACAAACAGTGTTCAATTTATAACAGGGTTCAATTTATAATTTATAATTTCAGTTCAGCTGACATTTGAGTTACTACATCGAAATAATACATTAAAAAATGGCACCAAATCTGGAAGACCAAATTAGCACCTGAGACTTCTACTTGTCTACTCTAAACAACAACAGTTTGTAAACTCAATTTTCTTTGGCTGTGGTAGAAGGCTCAGAGGAAACTGAAGGTTGACATTAATCCTTTGGACAAAAAGCCTGGAAAATGGTGTTTTGGACCTGAGCTACAGCCATCATAGCACTAAATAGAAAATCTTTCATTGCAGCTGCAAGTAAACTATGCCTTGGCTACTGGGGAACTGGGAATAAATCCTGTGAAATGAGAATCTATTTTCCAAAATAGATGGAATTAGTATGTGCCCTGGGGGAAGAAATATAAGTAGTGCATAAATATATTGTACTTCTCAGTGTGAAATGAGCGAGATGTTATTTTAAAAAGTCTGAAGAAATTGTTAAATGATGCTTCATAATGTTGAACATTTGAGGCACCTACCTGTACTCTGAATTCAATCATCCCAAAGGAGAAAAAAAAGCTCCCAATCAGAACCTCAATATATGCAATTTGGCTTCAAAAATATGAAGTCCGATTTGAAGTTCAGTCAAACATTTAGTGGGAATTACTTGAGACTTATATAGAGCAAATCCCAAACCCAGCCATGAAACTACAACTTATCCTAATTCCCTCTTTTCCTGTTACCTCTCAAAGTACAATAATGATTAACAGGTAAAAAATGTCACCCAAAAGACTTACATCTTAATTTGTCCATGATCTTTCCTCCACAAAGAGTTGCCAAGGCCATTTTGACAGCAAAAACAGAAATTTTACCATGCCCTTCCCTGTTCAAAAGTAGAAAGTAGACATATTTTATAATATGGACTTCCTTCCATTTAAAACTTCTATCATTGACGTGACATACTGTAATGCATACTCTATGTGAATTTACATATGAAGAAATAATTGAATTTTAAAATCAAGTTTGTTTTGTGGGAACACACATCAGTACATTGTTCTGTAAAGATCTCAGAATAGATTTATTATGTATGTAAATCTCAGTATTAAACTATTTATCTATTATACATTAGGGTGATGATTATTACTGCTATTTGTGCCACAGTAGCACTGGAAGGCACCTATGACACTCATGGCCTCCCTATCCTAAGTGCACTGTGTATCTTCTGTCCCTAGAAGATTGCAAATAAGCGCTAAAATCAACACTGGAACAAAAGTGAAAAAGCAGAAAAGGACCACATGGTTGCACAAGCTGCGTATTGTACCTGTTAGTAACTCCTGACAATTGCCTTTTAAATGATACACCTGACCCCCATGAACCTTTAAGAAGGACTTTGCTGAAAAATGGGGAATAAACCTGCATCCAGAATGAGCAAAGGACATTTGTCGTCACATGTAGAACAGTCTTGTCCCTGGTTTGTTCAAGTTGAGGCTATGTCTGGCTCTCTATTTTCAACTTTAAATGAATAATGCTATTAAATCCCAAATGCACACATGTGTATGCCATAAGGGCAAAAAGACATATTTTTCTGTAAAACCAGTCACTTTCAGGTAAAAATAAAAGACTTTTTCTTTCTGCCTGAAAGGATCAGACCATATACTGCACTCTCAGGATGCTGTGTTCACCTTTAGCACATTGCCAACTCTTCCTTCAGCTGTCTTGAAGCATGCAATGGCTTAATTTTATTGCTCCTCTTGCTATCCTCATTCTCCCTCCACAGTCATGATGGTTCCCAATGATTACCTGCCATTATAGAAACCTTGGTATATTCAAGCTGCATGAGTAATACATGACTTCACACACTGCAAAGCACTCTTAACTCCTAAAAGACCTATCCCCCCAGTTTAGGCAAAACTAAGTTGAGAGAGTTCACAGGAATGGCAGAACAAAGACGTTGTGATGTTCAGAGCCTTTCCAAAGATGAGAATGAACATGCCCTCTTAAATACTGAAACGTGTGGGTTTTCTTGAAATTCTCCAAGTCTTACTATAAGGCAGTCAGAGTCCATAGTTGCACTGGAGCAACTTTTATCTGTCATCCAAAGTCCTTAGCATTACTTAAGATCTTCCCATATATCTGTTTAATGACATCAGTGAGAACACGTTGTCATCATACTTTAAAAAAGAGACAGTCAGCCAATATTTGTGAGCTTAGCAAAATGGTACCCATTTCTCTTTCTAAATTCTACTGACAGGGCTAATGATGAAACCAGACAATAAAGTTTTGTGTCATTTTTTGGAAATGGAGGTTCTGTGACCTTCAGTCTTTACTCCATCAGGGAACATTATGCTTATAAGGAATTTTCTGTTAAAATACATAGAATTATCTCTTACATAAGATAGTCTAACTGCACTGGCAATAGCAATATATAGAAATTGAGCTCTCCATCAATATTTATGAAATTACTCTGTTGATTGTCACTCACAATTTTAATGAAGAAAATTGTGTCTGATCAGAACTAAAAGATAAACTGATTCTGGAAAGACACAGAGCCTGTGACTGTGTCGCCCTCTCTGCTCACCCCAAGCCAGACTTACACAGTAACATATACATATATAGTAGACATGAATGGCATACTCATATCAGTACATTAAAGCATGCTACATGCTTCACTGCTATGTTCATTACTAAGTCACTCAAACTTTACAAAATGAGTCAGTTCCCTAAGGTTGGCTAGCTAATAAGCTATACAGTTCAGTGAATTGCATTTAGTTCTACCTCAATGTAATCCATGATTCTAAATATTAATTCTAAATATTCTTTACATGCATTTAAAATTCTGCTTTTTTTCAGAAAATCAACCAGAGATGTAGATAAAAAATTCACTACTTCAGTATTTAAGAAATAAATCTTTACTATGTTCTTTAATGCTGGCTTTCATGCACATTTTCCTTTTCATGGCATTGCATTCTCTTTGAGTAGTGTCCTGGTTTCAGCTGGGATAGAGTTAATTTTCTTCCTAGTAGCTGATATAGTGCTGTGTTTTGGATTTAGGATGAGAATAATATTGATAACACCCTGATGTTTTAGTTGTTGCTAAGTAGTGCTTGCAGTAAATCAAGGCCTTTTCAGCTTCTCCTGCTCTA